AGTTCATTGTTCTCAAATCTTTTGCTCCCAAAATTCAAGCAAAGTACTACACATTACATGTCATATTTGAATAGAGCTATAATGAGGGTATCACCAAAGATGGCAACACTGAGTCAACCACAGTTGAGTTCTAAGACAGCTAAGCAGGGTCAGACTTGATTAGCACTTGGATGTCCATACACTACAGTAGGAAATCCCAGGACAGCAGATTAGATTGGGAAGTTATAAAAAAAGCTCCCAAAAGAAGACAGTGGTAAACCAATTTCTTACTGCGCTGAGAAAATGACATGGATTATCCCTGTAATCACCAGGAATCAAGTTCAATTTGGGGTAGTCTCTGTTTATAATAGCAGCATGTTAGGATTTGGTGTCTCTTGCTCTCTGCCAATAATATAGAAAAAATAAAATCCAAGTTCTCTTTCATAAGGACTACAAGAAGTTCATTTTTGTTTATTCTATTCCTGAATGAGAATTCATGAATGAATAAATCTCCTCGGAACATCAACTGTATTGTCTTTATCTTAAGCAACAGAAGTTGCTTAAGGTACAGGTAGTTCTCAACTTAAGACCAAAATTGACCCCCAAATTTCGGTTGCTAAATGAGACACTTGTTAAGTGAGTTTTGCACCATTTTATGACCTTTCTCACCACAGTTGTTAAGTGAATCACTGCTGTTGTCAAATTAATAACACTGTTAAGTGAATCTGGCTTGCCCATTGATTTTGCTTGGCAGAAGGTCACCAAAGGTGATCCCCACGTGACCCCGGAACACTGCTACCATCAAAAAATATGAGTCATTTGCCAAGTGTCCGAATTTTGATCATATGACCACAGGGATGCTGCAATAGTTGTGTGAAAAAAGAGTCATAAGTCACTATTTTCAGTGCCGTTGTAACTTCGAATGGTCACTAAATGAACGGTTGTAAGTTAAGGACTACCTTTAATACATTTTGAGCCCTTTCTCACTCTTCATTCTCATTCCCAATGTTTAGTTATAGCAAGCTGAACAAGACCAAGCAATAAGATGTTACCGGGATGAGGGCATTGAACAGGAAAGGTGATAGATCAAATATGTGTTTCTTCTTGTTTTCCCACTCCCACTCCTAGGACAGTGACAGTCTATCACCTTTTCCCTAAATAAAAAGACTAGGCAAGAGTGAGAACAAGCAGTGAGGAAAGATATTACCCTTTCATTGCTGGCCAGTATTGATTTATCCCTGGTGGAGGGATAGCGGCATTCATACGTTCTCCATGCAAGAGAGGATACACCCCAAAAATGGGTTGGGGGAGGAGGGAAAAAAGATTGACTTGGCTCTTTTCTCCACCCATGCTATTCTTTTGATCAAAGTCTACAATATTAAGGATAGGCTTCCAACATGTCCATTCTCTGATGTATTTTATTTTTAGTCTTCAACGGGAATGCCCATCTTATATGCCGTCAAAACTGCAGGTTCCACACGTAAATGTCAGATGTCAACAGACTCCAGAGAATTATTGGCAGTGTGTTAGTTCAAGAAATCTTTAGAAAGAAAGCTAAAAATGGAGCTCTTAGGACTAAACATTAGTTGGGTATTGAAATGACTCGACAAGCCAAAATGTGGCTTATTGGTGAACACGACCACTGGTGAGTGTCTCCTTTCAAGCATGAAAGCTAAAAAGCAGTTGCCCAGTTTGTTTTAACTTACTTTGTCATCTTCACAGTAGTTCTGCAGCACCTAGCCAGAAAATGATCTACCACCAGCCACAGGCATCTTTCCTGAATTGTTCTGAAAATTTAAATGTCCACAGGCATGGAAGTGAGCTCTACCACACAAATCAGTGAAGAAAAAGTAAGATGCGCAAATAACTGGAAGAGGGCATCTGTCCATCTAGCCCAGGGATAGGCAATCTTGGCTCTTTTATGACTCGTGGGCTTTAACTCCCAGAATTCCTGATGCATGGCTGGCTCAGGAATTCTGGGAGTTGAAGTCCATGAGTCATAAAAGAGCCAAGGTTGCCTACCCCTGATCTAGCTCCTTCCAGTTTCCCAACTGAAGAAGTTAGCAGAAAAGAGTAGTATTCCTATTCTTTTCTAATCCTGTTCTTATTTAGCATGACATGTTAAACTAATAGCCTTGTTCATAAAAAGCACTGCCCATCTTGCAGAATGGAAAGGACCTGGGAGAGAGCAGGGTGTGACAGCGATACAACATGGTTCACACTAAATATTAGTGGTTCATAGTAATCTCAACAAGCTCAGGTTGCCCAAGTTGCTTAAACGGGTTACTTACACACCTAGCAGCTACGTTTACTAAAAGCTAACTTGGTTAGTTTTTCTCTAGCAAGAAAGAAAAAAACAAGTCATTTGGTTAGACTAAGGCTCAATGTACTATACAAACTCAGTACACTGGCTGATTCAGTAGTCACATTATTTATGTTGGGCGAATGCAGCCTATGATGTGGTCCAGCTATATTAAATGTTGAACGAAGACTGAATGAAATACAGATTATAATGTCCCATAATATTATCCAGTATTTTTATTTCCTTACTGCACTGTAGGTTAGATAAAAAGAATAATAGGTAACAATCCTCCATCATCATTCGCTATTTTATTCCAAATATCATTCTCTATTCTACCTCTATTGTAGACTGTGTGATTGTGCTAAGACACAGCTTACAGGTACCTTGCAACATAATCCATTGTTAATTAAATCCTTTGTTCTTGTTCGGTTGCAACAAAGCCCCATCTCAGACTAAATTAACCTCTACTGACTTGAAACAGCATAACTGCACTTCTCAATCTTCAAAAACATAGTTAAAAGTTTTGCAGTTAAAAGAGGATTCCTGTCAGAGCAGAAATCCTTATATTTTGATATACGCTTTCCCAATGGAAAAAAAAAAAACATAGGTCAGACAAATCCGGAGTGGTTTGTCTGACACATATGCCAGGCATGGTGGTAAGGCAGCCCAGAGCAGCTGGCTGTGGTGAAGGGATGATACCAACAGGCAGCGAAAGCACAGAGCAGCTACCAAAGGGGAAGACAGCATGACCTCACCTGACATCCACAAGTCAGATAGTCCAGTCTGACACATGGGATTGGACCTACTGTCTCCACTTCCCTGTTGCAGATAATTAATTTCTAGGCTTCTCAACTTCAGCAACTTTAAAATGTGTGGACTTCAACTCCCAGAATTCTCCAGAGAGCTATGCTGCCTGGGGAATTCTGGGACTTGAAGTCCACCTCTCTTACAGTGGCCAAGTGTTGAAAAACACTGCCCTACGTGCTATCCAAACAGATATGGAGCTATACCAGCTTTCCCTCCTTAATGAACTTTCTGGTAAGCAAAAAGATAGAAGGGGTGATGGGAAAATATGGGAGATTTTGTAAAATGCACCAGTTTCTTAAAAAATTCCTTTGCCCAATTGTTCCTCAGGTTTTAAAGAAAGGTCTGCTTTCAAAATATTAGCTGTGCAGTAAATTGATAGTTTCTTAGGAAACTGACTTTGGTATTATAGGCTATCATGGCTACTTCTAAAGGAGCAGACTTCATTTATTTATTGCCACGACTTGAGGCAGCGAAAGGTTTAAAAATGGCAAAATGTTTATGGAAACCGATGCCGTCATTGTGTAATTTTGTTGATTAACATTTTAAAAAAAAATTAAAACCCAGTAGAATACATTGAGAACCAGAAGAAGCTGAATACTATCCCTTCAGATCCACTTTTAAAAGAACCTACATAAAATGCTATTTGCTAATCTAGGGAGCACTGTATTTCCTTTGGCTCTAGGGACAACTAATAATCTTTTTACTAATGTCAGTGTTTGCTTTCACTAGCGCACACATTGAAATGTCACTTTTCACTCAACGGGAAGGAAGATCCTTGGTGCAGAGGAAAATAAATCAGGTTCTCATTTAACTTCTCCATTCACAAGCCTCAACAGATTCCGGCTCAAGCTTTAAATACACTGGGGGGGGGGGGGAAGGGGAGAAGATTGCAGGAGGTTCATCCCTAAAGTTCTTTCCACCTTAGGTAGCTTTATTTAATCAGAAAAGCCCTAACCAACTGAGATTAATAAAACCTATTTTCATCCTAAAACTGCAGTTTGGAATCCCAGATGGAGGGAATTTAGCAGTCAGAAAGATGAACCGACATGGCATCTATAATTACAAAAACTGTGCGGTATTATATGTCACTAGGAATTTTAAAACCCAGGAAGGCAGGAAAAGGACACCTCCTCCTGGCTCAAATAAATCAGAGCTTCACTGCCTTGCGGGGTTAAGGACCTCAGCTAAACTGATGTAGGCAGAAACACAGAGTATGACATGTATCACATGGTACATAAAGCACACACACCGCATGCATGAACGTTAAGCTCCCCCCCCCCAAAAAAACCTGTATACATACGGTCTACTTATTTTCAAGAAGCAACAAAGGTAACTATCGCTGTGTGCAAAATAAGACGCCTTCGTTGATGCACCGACTGCCCTGGCAAATAAAAGGAGAGGAAGCAGGAAAAGGCGGCAAAGAAGGGAGAGGGAATACCAGGAATGTCATTTGGAGGTGGCAGCGCTCAGGGACACTCACGCCCGTTCCCAAGAAGGCAACTACATCCCCCCCCCCCTCTCCCAACCCTCGTCCTTTTCAAACTGTTAGGAAAGGACCTCCTCGCTAGCGGACGGGTGGCTCCGTCTCTACTCCGGAACGTCTGAACGGCAAAAACACGAGTAGAAAAGGGAGAGACTTAATCCCGCGCGGAAGGAGCCGCGAGGGTGAGCTAAAGCTTCCCGGCGAGGTGGCCGAGAGCAGCGCAGCCTCCCCTCCAGCCGCACAAGGCAGGCGGCGAGAGCCCAGTCCGCGGCTCCCGCTTTCCAGCGGCTCAGCTTCTCCCGAAGGGGAGCCGGGCCGTCAGGGGTGTGGCGCGCTGGCCTCGGCGCCTCGACGGCTCGGCGCGTCCCCGGTTCGGACGCGCCCGCCGGGCGAGATCGGGCGGCGAAGGGGCGCGACGACGACGGGTACCTCGCAGCCGTACAGCTGCCCGAGCTGCTCCACGATCCACTCCTCCAGCACTAGCCTTTTGCGCAGCTCTTTCCGATCGTACTTGACCGTCACTTTGCCCTGCTGGTGGCGCCGCTGCTGCTGCTGGACTTGGACCACGGCGGCGGGGGCGACCGAATCTTCCCGGGAGGCGCTTCCCCCGCGCGGGCTCTGAAAGAAAACCCGGGTCCCTCCGCCGGTGCCTCCCCCGGCGGCGGCGGCGGCGGTGGCGGGGCCCGGTTCGCTACCTCCGGTAACCACCGACATGTTCCAGCTCAGCCTCGTGGGCAGATCCGTTCCTCCGGGCGATCGGGGCTTCGGGGAGCGCCGCCGGAGCTAGAGGTATGGCTGCCGACGAAGATGACCTCCTCCGGCCACGCTGCCGCCGCCGCCGTGTGGGAGCGCTCGCCTCGCCTACACCTGCGGCTCGTAGCCTCTCACGGCACTGCTCGCTCCTCCGCCGCCGGTTCGGCAGGAGGAAGGCGGGGTGTCCAGCAGACTGAAAACGGGGCGGGGACAGCGCCTTAAAGACACCGCGAGCGCCTCGCTACGACAGACATTTGCCCCTTCTGGGTCCTTCGGGGCCGCTCCGGGCCTTTCCCTCGACGGGTCGCCTGCGCCTTTAAGGCGATTGAAGAGCTACTACTTTGGGGCCGACTGCTGGGGGTCTGGGCTGAAATGCGCTCGGTAGAGCTTTGCCCTCCTGTTCACGCAGCTCTTTGAAAGACAAAAGTCATACGGGGGGGGGGAGATCCCCGTCCCGACTGATCTTTTTCTCTGATACTCACATAATTTTGGTTCCGACAAATGTTTGTGTGGGACTTCAAAAGTCTCTTTGCATCCCTCAAATCATCTGGAAGAGACAACAAAAGCGGCGAACGTATTTGTGCAGCTGGGTTAACAGGCTGTGGTTTGCTTATTTGTGGCTTGTAAATCAAGATGGGCATTTAAATCTCACATTTAGCTATATGTGCGAGCAAAGAAAGTACCGAAATCATTAGGAGTAAGCAAACTATGGGTTTACAGGGGTGATGGAAATCTGTTTCCATGAATAACCATTGTTGGCTTAGCTGTGATTAGTTGAAAACAAAATTGCATTCATACAAATTCATGCATAATTAAAGAATAAGACGGTGGAATCTGTGAATTCAGGATTAAAGTGGTATGATTCTTCAAGCAGTTATGTTTGGTCAATCTTAGCCACCCATTTTTTGTTCTTGGGAATTTAAAACAATAGGAAGGAAACTAAAATGTTTGGACACTTGGATGGTCTTGCAAAAGTCTCTGTCTTTAGGAGTACATAAAACACAGCTGCCGTTGAATAATATAATCCTAAAGTTGCAGACACAATAACTGGAGCATATTAAATTCCCTTGGATTTATTTCTGTTGTTATTCTCTGGATCTCTCTGAATCCTTCTTAGTGTTATGCTCCAAATTGTACAAAATATTCAACATGGGATTTGGCCAACACAGAATGAAATGGAGCACTTTCTTCCTGTGTTTTTAAAAGTATACAAATTGTCCTTGCCTTTTTTGCAGCTACATTGCACCATTCACTCATATACTGTATGCAATTATCTACTTTTTCAAAATGTTTGTATAAGTATTATTACCAAGCCAGGTGTCCTCCACCCTATACCTGTAGATTTGATTTCTGATTCCTAAGGGAAGAAATTTGCATTTGATACCGCTAAATATCATTACGTTATCTTCAGGGAGAAAGTATTCAAGCAAGGAATATAATTATGTAATTATACAAAGTACTAGATAATTGCAATAGAAAATACCTAACTTTGATGACTAAAAAGCAAAGGCTGACATCTTAATTAGATGCAATATTCTAAAAAGCACATTAACGAATATATATTATGGTTAAGCCAAATAAAGGCTGACAAAATGTACAAGCTTTCAAAGATCTCCAGATTTTTTTTCTTAAATTATTACAAAAAGCATCTGAGGAATGTAAAAGAAAATAATAAAAGAATTTATATTTAATTTAAATAATAAATTCTTGCCAGTCAAGTGCAAGGTAAAATGTAGGAAAGGACTAAAGAGATTCAAATTAAGCTCTATTAACTGTGACTGTATACAATACTCCCTCAAAGGTTGTCAGTATGAAAATATTAACAAATATCTGTAACTAGCGAGGTGGACTGAATAACCCATAAGCCATCATGTATTCTAATCTAATTCATGGCTATCATGGTAACTTCGGTACCATTCTTTTCTCAACCTGCTCTTTGTAACACGTCTTGTATTAAGACATCGGAAGATCATTTCTTTTTCAATCAGCCTACTATACTATAGCATTTAGAATAGTATATATAAAAGGTAAAGGTTTCCCCTGTCCAGTCGTGTCTGACTATAGGGGGCAGTGCTCATTTCCATTTCTTAACAGAGGGAACCAGCGTTATCCAAAAAACGCTTCTGTGGTCATGTGGCCCGCAGTCAAGGAACACTGTTACCTTTCCAATGAAGTGGTACCTATTTTTCTACTCACCCTTGCATGCTTTCCAACTGCTAGGTGGGCAGAAGCTGGAGCAAGTAATGGGAGCTGACCCCATATAGCACAATGCTTGGGTCTTGAACCCGAGCAGTCAGCTTTTCTGCTGACACACTCAACGCCCCCCCAAGAATAATACTTATATCATCATAATAATAGGACTGTCTTTAAAAACAGCATACTTGGCTACTTCTTTAGCAATACACAGCAAATACCATATTATTCCATTTTTTCTGTTCCAGTGCTGGATCAGAAAACCAAGTTTTAAATAAAACTGTGTCTGTTACTATCTCTGATATATGATGATCTGGGGAAGGTAATCCATCATTGTTGGGAGGAGAGCAGTCTAACCATATTCAGTGAAGCATACTTCAAGAATAACTATTAGAAGGGGAGAGAGACCAAGTAAAATGTGCAGCTCCCTCACATCCCTGCCTCATCTTCCTTTCCCTTTGGCAGGTTCATGCATCATACTAAGCTATAATGCAGCTTATGGATGTTACGTAAACCCAGTTATGGTAGTTTGATTATAATTTATGGCACATTGTATGAAATTAGCCAGCTAGGTATTTTTGAGAAACAATACTTAAAACCACAGATTAGTACAATATGTGAATGTAAGCATTCTAATATCTTAGGGTCACAAACTGAATGAAATTAGCACTTCCTAGCCTTTGAAACATGAGTATATAACTCTGATTCCCATTTCCTAAACAGTGATCAACACTGATTGGCTTGTTTAATCAAGTTATATAGTGGTCCACTTGCCAGAAAGATTCTGGGTGGCTAACAAGACATTAAAAAATGTCAATGAAATTTAAAAAATAGACGTACATTCTGGTTGTTACAACACATCATACCATTTTCCAACTTGGGCATAATTCACATGCTAAATCTGCTAGAAGGTTGGACTGGATGACCTATAAAGTGATTTCCAACTACAGGCATCCACAGAGGGACAAGGCAACGGGGATAAATGGCACATGCACAATGACAGTGTATAATGCATTATCATGCAAATGCCATAACTTATGTACTTGTGTCAGATGTTATGATGCAGTGCTGCTATTAACAATGATATCAAAATGACAAATGTCATGACATAAGCGTCATATATGTATCTTAACATCACATTCAAAGGGTGAGTTTGTTCTCTGAGGTCACGGTGCATATTTTGTCACTTGGCCCCATCCCTGCCTTCAATGGGTACCTATGCACAGCTGTGGTATTTGTATGATGATACTAGCATGTAGGTATCATTTTGACATCACTGTAATTTGTTATGGATACTGCCTCTTCCAACTTACACGTCCTATAAAAAGGGCAAAAAAGCTTTTGGCCATCAAATGCCATTTTATTGCCAATGAAATAAATTGAAATGGTCAGCAATCTTGAACAATTTGCTTCAATCCCAGTAAGATGATGTTTGGGGAACCCAAGTTAACATTAAGCCTCATATTGTGGACAACAACTAGATTTATTACAGAATGTTCACTGTAGAAAATAGGTTTTTTTTGTGTGTATGTGTGTGTGTGAGAGAGAGAGAGAGAGAGAGGGAGGGCGGGAGGGAGAGAGAGAGAGAGAGAAGAAAAATCCTGTTTGTATATACCAGGGGTAGGCAACCTTGGCTCTTTTATGACTCGTGGACTTCAACTCCCAGAATTCCTGAGCCAGTGTGGCTGGCTCAGGAATTCTGGGAGTTGAAGTCCACGAGTCATAAAAGAGCCAAGGTTGCCTACCCCTGGTATATACATTCTCAATCCATATTGTTGCATAGAGTTCATTTGTTTCAAAAATCCAAATATTCTTTCAGGCTTTTTAAAGTTTGATCAGTCCACTTAAACACTCCATGCATTCTTTCTACAGTTTTACTCCACTACACCATGGAAGTTGTATTTCAGCATAGCTTCTTTCTGCAGGTGTCTAAATCATTGTTTCCATCTTACTGTTTTCAGTGTTTCTCAATTTCAGCAATGTTAAGATATATGGACTTCAGCTCCCAGGGTTCCCCAGCCAGCCATGGGGAATTAAAGTAGCTGAAACAGAGAGCACTGGTTTAAGTCAAAGGGTTAACACATTTGTCTTTAAAGTCAGCAAGGCTCAAGGGCAGACCAGAATCAATATTTCTGTACCAGAACCAATACGACTTTAATTGTCCATCACAGCTGTGCTGTTGTTTAAAACCTTTTTGCATTATTGATTTTTTCACCTTCTCCCCATAAAAAAGAACCAATTTTCACCTCCTTATAAATGAAGCAAAATCCTTTTTCTTTATAGCCATATACACAAATATGTCAGAGTTAACATGCTGTTTTGTTTTGCATGAATGTGAAGAGAAAAAGAGCGGGGAATATAGATCACTGATGCTGATCTAGTCTCAGAAAAATGGAAGCATAAATGGATACCTTAGGTCAGAAAATTAATCTTTGCCAGTGAAGAGCATCCAAAAGTCAGGGGGGTCTAGTAGCACCTTTCCAGACTCACACATTTTATTAAAAAAAACATGTTTTGTGAGCTGATTCTGCACTTTAATCAAGTGTGCTAGTCTGAAAAGTACTACCAGACTCTCTTTACTTTGCTAATACCGTATATTCCTTTAATTTCTTCCCCTCTCCACCCCCCAGAACATTCTTTTCATTGAATGAATGAAAATACTTAACTAATATATCCTAGGTCTATGTAATTGAATATATGGCAAAATAAATGTGCTTAATGTACACATTATTAAATATAAGCATAGTATTGAAGATACTCATGGTTTA